CAATCACACCAAGAGAAGCTGCATCCGTTTCCTTCTTTTTCTCGGGCACACCAAGAGAAGCTGCATCCACCTTCTCGGTCACATCAAGAGAAGCTGGATATAAAAGCAAAGGGGATATCAATTATAAATTGTAAAATTTAGAATCAGAACAAGAACTTTGGCTTTGATGATGAATAATATTACATATTACATACAGGGGCGGAGGCACTTGCAAGGAAGGGGGGTCATGTGACCCCTACTAATTTTTAAAAAACCATTATATATTTTCAATTTAATGATAATGACCCTGTTCAAATTTAATTTTTGACCCCCATAACCCAATCCCAATATAAAATCAATCTAAATACCTAAAATAAACAAGCTCAATATAATAAAAATTGAGTTGGCATTTAAATTTAAACTCAAGTTTAGTGTAAATTTTCATAATTTACATAGGTTTAGTTAAACAAATTCATCTAATTTAAAATTCTACAAAGAAAATTTATATTATTTTTTATTATATACATTTTTTTGAATCGCTAAACAAAACAAATATATAAGATATTAATATTTTTTTAATTGAGAAAGTAATAAATGAAACATGTGAATTAAAAAATTTAACCTACGAATGAATGTTATATGCATTTTTTTAATTTTTTCTACTGTTCATAAGATATGTTTTTAATATTATTTTTTGACCTCGGTTAAAAAATATTCTAGCTCCGCCACTGATTACATATTACTTTCTTAAGGTGTTTAACTTGAAAGTCCTTCAAGAGGAAGACATCCAACTTCAAATTTTCAACATCTTTGGTCAAGAGATCAAAAGACATTTTCTGGAAAATTTTGGACTTTAGAATCTCCCCCACGTAGTCAAAAGATCCAGTGACCACAACAGCTTTTACAACCAGATCAAAAAATCTCTTCTTGAGTTTAGTGAATAAATCCCAAAATCTTGCATATACCTTCTCCTTGTCACTCTTGATCAAAAGGCTAAAGATTGAATCCTTTATATATTAGTAGAAGAAGACCTAGGGTTTATGCTTGAATTCAGGCTTGGGCCTAGTGCAGGTCAATTCTGATTTTTTTTTAATCTTTATTGTCAATACTTTTAAAGACATTGTTGAAATACTCAATAACATTGCAATTGTGTTTTCAACTTAGATTGAGTATGGAATTAAACAATCTAGATGGAGAAAGATCAATCTGGTGTGAGTTGAGAATACTTGTTGATGAAAACTCTTTGTTTATCTCTTTTTTGGCAGATGAAAATTTTAAAAACGTTGAGAAAGACGTTTCATCTGTAGTTTCAACTTGGATTGACAATCAAATCAAACAATCTGGAGGGAGAAGGTTTACAAATTAAACAATATAATTATAAAAGAAGTTTTAGTTGAATTTATTCAGCTTAATTTGTGAATTGGCACATTACACAATGTTTTTATTAAATACCAATTAGGATCATGACATTTAACTTAGTGGTTTCTGCAAATGATGTTATTGTGTTATCACTTGTGTTCGAATCTATCATAATGCATTGTATGAATATAATATGTTACAAGGTATTTTCATTTGATTTTTGTTGTTTGATTATATGAATCTTGGAATTTACCGAACCGTGGTGTTTTTCCTTTTGCTTAAACAAGCACTAGTCACGATTTATGTTGTTACGAGATTTAAACCATCGTGTATCGTCTTATACGAGTGATTTACAAGTTTCGAGTGATCAATACCAAATATTACTTGAAGTTTATATTTCTCCAAAGATTCAAAAAAGAGGATGAACAACCATAGATGTGTCGACAATACCAAGAACAAGGTTTTTTTTTGCAACCAAACAATGTTTATTGGTGCATCACTAGAAAATTAGTCTCCTGCTTGAACAAACTTCGAGCCTCCACACCTCCAATTTTTAAAACATTTATATCTACAACGTTCAAGCTATAGATTAGATATTTAGATTAGTGTGATGATAAATATAATACATATTATTTTTAGAATTCAAAAACTTGTTTATGTCAAACAAAAATACTTTGATTGTATACGATAAATAAGTCTACCAAAAATAAGGCTTTTGAATGATCATATAGAAGAGCAAGGAATACTTCAAGACAAAAGAAGTAGGAGTGGAAAATAAAGTGAGCTTTTGTTTGGTTTCTTGTACTCCAAAATCATGCCACAATCTTGAAACCTCAACATCAAGAAAGAAACCCGCGAATGGATTGATCTCTAGCCGTTCTGCGCTTTCTAGCCTGCATATTACGATATAAGCGTAAAGAAGAGTGCTGGATTGATCTCAAGATTTTTGATGTAAGATGATGGTAAAATTGACACCTTTTCATTGTTAAACAAGTCCTCTGCAACGGCTTCCATTTGCTTCCTCTTCTTCTCTTCTTTCATAAAATCAGTCACTTCCCCGCTATCGTACTCTCTGTTAATCACCGAAACAAATCGGTCAAGTAAAAAAAGAGGAGAAAACATTACAAGCTAACAAGCTAGAAGAAGGCTGGAGATTACTTGTATGGATCCTTTGCAAAAGGTATTAGGCTACTGAAGCTGTTTCCGGATATAACATTTCCCTAACAAAACAAAAACAATCATCATCTCGCCATCACAACATTTGTCCAAAACCCAAAGGTTATGTATATACCTTTCTGAATCGCTTGAAGTCCACAACTCCTTCCTTCCCTGTAGACCGAACATTTCTAATCGATCGCAAGTCCCTAACAATAAGATCTTGAGTGTAGATAATCTCCGAGTTCCCACATTCAGGCTCATCATTTCGATCCCTTCGCATTGTCACTTCACGGACACTATCACTTGGGTTCTTCTCATCGCTGTAGCCTTTAATTTCAGTATCTGCTAATAAGTTTACGCTTTTAAACTCATTCAAATTTATAGTTTCTTCCAATATCGTAGCAGGACTATCCTCTATCACAATAGCAGCAGGCTTCTCTGGTGTTTCTGCCTTTTCAGTGGCCTCGATCATATGAACAGACGATGTTGTTTCTTCTTCCTCTTCGGCATCAGAATCTGCTACCACTGTCTCATCCGTAGAGCACGATGATGAAATCACAACTACAAACAGGAAATGTTTCAAGATATGAGTTTTGTGATTTATGACTCATGAGAAAAGAAAATATATTTCGCTTTGTGTATTCACCGGAAGGTGGTATCAATGAAGTCGAAGGTAGATTTCCAGACAAGATAGCGCGTATTAAATCCATCTCATTCACTCTAGATAATAAACTGAGATGCTTCAACCGACCAAATTTGTCTCCTGCACTTTTTGGGATGACACATATCATGCGATTAGTTTCTCCATACTGAGAATCCTGCAAAGTTGATTATGGTTAAGGCTACTTACAGAAATATCAAATGAGCAAAACAAAATAAAACCACAAACCTGACTCATGGAGCTAATGTCTGCTATGGCAACAGTCTCCGCGCCACATACTTTCAGTAAAGACGGGAAGCTGCTCTCAAATCTGTACTGCAT